GGATTTTGGATTTCGGCCATGTTCAAAAGGAGATCAACTTTTCTTCCACTCGAGAGATAGACTTTCAATAGTTTTTAAGTATGACATGTCAAAATATGCATATTTGTGAACACTTATAATTGTTTAATTATTAAACTAATAATAAAACTACTACAATTTAGGAAATTAAATAGCTTTTCGGGATAATTTTTCACATATTTTAACTTAAAATCCAATACCGTTTACATCAAATCAACTCTCCTTAATATTATTAATATAATTAAATAATATCAATTAATCATCATCATACATTATATCACTTTTAATTCATTATTCTTCCACTCCAATTTTTAACTACCTCGCATTTTCAATAACATCAACTTTGATCAGTATATTTTAAATATTATTTGAATATAAATTTAAATCCAACTCAATTCTTCGCTCGATCAATTTTATTTTAACTAATGAATCTAATTAAACCCAATTTTATTTATATCAAAGATTTGATTAATCTCATTTTGGATCCAAGGAATGGCCTTTTGCCACTCAAAAACAAAAGGCGAATTATTTTAATCACCACAAGATACTAAAGAAATTGCAATCCTGCCAGCAGAATGATTTTATTTGCATATGTACCTAAATAAATGAATTTAATATGGGTGAATAATAAGAATGAGTTACCAAAATAGGAGACACCCTATAATCACGCCACTAACTTCTTGCTTTGAAGAAAAAAAGAAAAGTAAAAACAAACCAGAATCTTGCTGCTATACACGATGTGTTTTTTTAAAAAAAGGAAAAGATCAGATTTTGAAATATATAAAGAACATATACACAAGATATACCGTAAAATATATAAGTCCAGAAAATACATATAATATACACAAAATATATACACAAGATATACAAAAAACATGTAAGTCCAGAAAATATACAACGATCGAACATATACACAATATACAATATATACAAAAATAAGTCCATATAACATATACAGAAAAATGATCGAACGTATACACAATATACAACATATACACAATAAAAGGCAGTATATTTGTCTGGAACATGTACAGAATATATACTCATTATATACAGTAAATAAATCAATGTTGTTATTATATACGTACAGAAGATATTTACCTCTGCTGATATCGAGTCTTACGAAGGTCGCAGCCCCATCGGAGATCGAAGGTCTCCAGAAACTGAAGCTTAGTCGCCGGTGGTCCAGGTATGTTTGGTCGCGGGTCTGCTCTGCGTGTTAGGTTCGACTCGTCGCAGCATGAGTGGACGACTCTCGTCGACGCCGGGATTGACGCTCTTGGTCCGGTGGAGTTTGGTCGGAACTCTGCTGTTTT